GTGGCTAGTTTAGTTCCAATAGCCCAAGCCACAGGTCCGTGGGTATTAGAGGTACAGCGGATGTTGGAGCAAGTACTTACCGACATGAGAGGGCTAAGAGGTTAGATTACCGATCCTTCGGGAAACGCCAAGATGCCGTATGTATATACTAGAACACGCTATCATCGTCATCAGCTTGACCCTCCGAGCACCAACGAAGACCAATAGTAGGTATTCAGTTCCGAGGGGGAAATGATAGCGAGGCATTATGCAAATCATGCTTGGTAAGCTAGTGTAGACAAGCTCACGTCGGGAGTTTGAGGTAACGTCGCGGGACTCGTAGGGCTCTGTGTTAAAGAAATTCATCCCCACAAGAAAGCGGGTATCCCATGCTCCATGCCCCAAGGTCCAGGGTGCCGTACTGCCACTACAGCGGTAGCTAATGAGGAAACGGCACTACCAGGAGTTGCCCGGCTCTTGGGTCCTGATAATAGCTTGGCTGTGTAAATCATAGGTACCTAACCTATTGGGTATTCCGTACACATGTTGCAGTTGCGGTTTAATGTTTCAACCTTCAGGGGGTACGGATCCATACCTCATAGCACAAGCAATAGCCTTAATAAACCAGTTATAACTTATACTAGGGAGGCAGTCGTCTAGACGGATTGTCCGTGACCGGTCAGCCGGAACCGCCTCCCTTGAACCCGCAAGGAAGCGATTCTGTAGTAATTCAAAGCGACGCTTAAAAGATAGAGCTTACTCTATCGTCGTATGGTCATGGATTAGAAGGCAGGTCATTTGTAACGTTGGAGGTGTTCGTGTTCGTAAGGAAGCATCCATACAGACGATTTGAATTCGGAAGAGATTTCCATTATACTTACACACCCGTCGTCGTCGTTATTTTGTAGTATGTGAAATGCGGCTGATGGGGTATAAAGACATTGCCTGATAGCAGTTTGGTCAATTTAAGTACCAAGTGTCGCAATGACATGAGGATTGGGCGAGAGCGGCAACGATAAAGGCCTAGACTAGATTGCTCGGCTAAAAACGTAGACGTCAACTCCTTGATTAGGTTGATTTTTGACGCAACTAATCCCCTTTGAAGACTTCAATTTAATACATAGATGCGCAGGAGGCTCAAAATAGAAAGTAGTTGCGGGTAATGTGCAACTCGTGGGTCCGACTGCTGCATCTAGATTAGGTACATACGCCCAGGCCCAGGCACAGGCGTAAGGCATCGGCACGAGCACCGAGGGTCGCTGAGGTCACTGACTAAAAATTTATGAGAATGGAAATTTAAGGAAATCATTATATTAGGTAACTACGTAACCCATGTATGCACTTACTTACACCAAGTTATACGTGGGTATGTATTATTAAGTACATGACCTACATGTAGGTACGTAACATGTAAGTACTCGCTATTTCAGCCCCCGAAGTTGCGTATCCTCGGTACCTGAGTGCATGACACGGGCAGGCAGCTTGTCAGCCGCTGCCATCCTACCCTCCTTCGTACCTGAATATGCACGTATTACATGATATAGGTCGACAATGAAGCAGGTGCAATATACATATGTATGTACCTGAGTAAATACGTAAGTCACTTACCTAAGGCGGATATATGTGCGTATAATGTAGGTATGTATGTACGCATTACGCCTAACGCACAGTAGGCTACCTAAGGTAGGTACTTATAAGATTCGTATGGGTTAAGTACAATACATGCCTGCATCATATCACCCCGCGCTCCCCGAAACAGCTAGCGGAAATGCCTTCAATATCCGCGGGACATACTATATCAGGTCAAAGTAATCAGGTCAAAGTAGCATCATCGGCCTTGCCATCACTATCGCTGTGCAGCATGCATCGACCTACAACTTACCTAGGTGGGTAGTTAGTTTCTCTTTCAACCAAGGGCAAACCGCTCACGATGCCGGATTACGCAATTTCGTATATCTGATATATGCGCATGTGTGTATAAGAGGTATGTACATATATACGTTCTCTTATTTTCACATGACTAAAACTCGGAAGAAGATGGTGGGGTTTATTAATTCGCTGGTTTAGTTCTTTTTTTTCTTCCCTTTTTTTTTCCTCTCGCAAAGTAAAACCCGCTGTATGTAAGATTATCCATCCATCTCACACCGGGTTGTTTAGTCAGCTATAAGAGCCTTCCTATCCAATAAGCTGGGGATCTCGCTGTTGACTGTGTTACACTACACGTAGAACGTCAAACCAAACCTTCGGTTTTTTTTTGTTTCAAGCCTCACTGTGACTTCGACCTGATAAATCCCGCCCTAATGCTCACTCTAGCCCCGTCTTTATGCGTTTACCAGCACCAACCAACTATTTATTCATAACTCCGAGGTATCACGGAAACAGTAAACTGGGTACGTCACATACCTCATACCTACCCTTACAATGGCTTTACGTCGTAGTCAGATCTTGCAACCCAAGTTCGATGAACTCATCCAAACCCCCCGGGTAGCACGTCGGGATGTTTCCTCAGAGGGCTACCTTAGCATGGTTTTGTACCTACGGATACATACCTATCACCTACCTACATCCGCACGTAATGTGACCCCCGGACCCGTTCGCAGGACTACGTTGCGTGGGTATAGAGGAGTATTATAGCCCAAACGATGAAGTGCCTCCTTAAACCAGCCAATAAATGGGAGCGCCGGTTCAGGAATCAGATATGGACACAATCATCCTTGGCGAACCGTGCCGGTCATTGCGAACCGCGCCAAACTCTGGCAAGCTCCGGCTCACCTTACCTCGAAGATGTATGTAGTGTACACTAATGGTTCCTGGGCTATATTATTCCATCGCCCTAACGGACCCTGACATTCTTACTACTACTACTATGTCTTGCGGAACTATATTCTCTCCGATCGAAAACAGGAAAACCGCAAACATGTAACCTTTGGTCGAGATTCCGTATTGTTTCTAGGCTCAAACGGTATATATGAGCACTTTTACGCGAGGTACATTGGAAACAGAATATGGTTATGGTCACCGGTAAGGCCTTCTCTAGTTACCGATTCGGCAATTGCTGTAAGGTAGGGGTAGGCGGCGAGGGCCGACCGGTGAGGGATAAGACCAATACGTTTCCGAGTATGTGCCGTCCGCTAGCTTCAGATTGTGACTGGTCTTCGGTGCTTAAAGCGCTCTGCTAGGAATCCTTTTTGTACGCCTTACCTTGTCCAATCCCAGAACCCTCTGAGAACTTATACCTATACTTCCCTAAGGTATAGAGACGGACAGATGGAAATGTAGAAGGGTACATTGTCATGCTTTAAACATCATACTCAGACCGGTCTTGGTGCTGCAGGTAGTCAGACCAGAGCAGCAGCAGCAGCAGCAGCAGTAATAGCCATAAGAAGAAAACAAGGAACGTACGGCGAGAAAATATTAATTGATCAAGATTTCAAATCCGCACTTAATAAACTTAATAAGTGAAATCCGTTGTCGAATGTTCCATATCGTGTCATGCCCCCCATGTACATGTCAGTGCTTTGCCCAGGCCCTTGATTCCCAAAGAAGCATAAGGTTGTCCTTTTGCTTTAAATTTCTATTACTTTTTATTTAATTATTTTTAATTGTTTTTCCAAACTAGACTAAAAATATTTTTTTCTCGTCTTCCGTCCGTTTTAGATTCTTCTATATTCCTTGCGTATAGCGAACCACGCATACGTACATAAATATTTGTATGCGAGTATGTCAGGTAAGTACATGTTCGACATATGAATACGGTATACATAGGTATAGGTACTTACCTCTTACACAATTACACATATTTAATGTACTTCTTACTTTCTTGCGTACATTAGATGTATGTATCTAGATTTGACTGTAAAGGTTGTTTTGACCCGACCCTCTACAGAAGAAGAAACAGGTCAGACGCGGTCACCGTTCAGGCAGTTACGTCTAACCTACCTAAAGTAGACATGAAGTACGAATTATCAAGTACCATCAGTACCTTCCCCCGAGTGACATAGCTAAGAGGTACCTAGGTACATGTAATTCAGTGTATTAGGTATTAAGGTTAATTGGAAGTGACAACCTTGAAAAGTTGAAGTCAAAAAAAACCCCGATCAGGTCGAGCCCTGTCCTGTCGGCTGTCGCAGAACATCACTTTCTTCTCTCATAAATTTCTACATACTTCCCCCTGTCATCGAAAATTCTCGGACAGCGCGCCTGTTCCACCCCAACTCCTTCATGTCAATCACCTCACCCAAGATCAAGTCCTGTTTCTAGTCTAGTTTCCTAACTACCCGTCCCTGACTTTGGAGGTAATGCTCCTAGTGCCGAGTTACATAGTATGGACCTAACGGGAACACTGCCGACCGTTCGTCATAGGCCCAGGGTAGACGATATGATAGAGCCGTACGTACATATTATTTGAGCCTCCCTCATGGCTTCCAAGCTTGCAACGACGTCCCGTCGAGTAACTAGGTAGTTACACATCACATTTACCACCCCCCCTACCATCTCCACCTCCACCGCCCATTGAATGTTTTCACTCTGCTACAAAAGAGAACTTCCGCCTCGCCTAGTTTACATGACTTCCTGCCAGTCCTAGACTACAAACAGGCTGCTCATAAACATCTTCCCGTCACAAACCCACATTTGGCAAACAATAAATAACCCAACGCTTTCCCTGGTTGGACCTCAAGGTTATCTCTACCTATTCACTTGTAGCCTGTCGACTATTTAAAGTCTCTCGTCCACTACCTCTTGAGTCTACCCTCCTCGACACTCTTCTCCATCGTCATTAGCCATATTCTTCATCCACTACACCCAGCAGCATCCATCACACCATTTTGCCAACTAGCCCCCACCTCTACATCGGTACTCGAACAAGTGAGTATCTTACGACTTGAGTCTACTCATTGGCTATAAGACTAACACTACTTCTAGGAAAGACTAAGCAAGCCCGCTTTCGCCCCCAGCTGTCTGGCATTCTTATCCCCAGCGATCAAAAAAAAAAAAAAAAGTCTTCTAGGACAGATTCTTGATCACACCTTTAAGAAATGGCCGTGGGAAGCAACTGCGCGCACTCTTTCAAGATGCTGAAGTCGGACAGCACGCTTGTCCAATGGACCTGTAATTTGTGTCACTCGGGGCCGCACTGGTGGATTTTCGAGTGCAGATACTGCAAGATCCACACGTGCCGGGCTTGTGTCCACAACGTCTAAGCACGGGGAGGGAGGATCCGGACCGTGCTGTTCTGTTATTGGCCTTTTTCATAGATGTAAGTGGGAAACTCGTATCTGTCATGTCTCATATGTCATTATCTAGGATTCCAATATGACAGAAGAAATAAGCAAAGGGCTAACATGGTGCTCATTTTAGTCCCAGGACCTTGGTCCCGGCTCTTTTAAATCTAAGCTTCACTTTTTTCGATTGGAGGGAACCTCTTCATCCGGCGTTACTGGATAGGATTTACATACGGAAAAAAGAATAACGAGATTCTCGAACCCCGACAGAAAAAGATTCGACACACGCAATGGCCATCGATATCCGGAAGTTGTTACCGGGGGACCCTTGTCGACAATGCTAAGATCCTGCAGGTGGTGGCCAAGACAAGCCATAATATCATCCTATTGGCCCAAACCGTTGTTTTCCCAGTGACATTTTCAGCAGTCCCTGACCATACATCTTCAGCCACTCGACGAAGCCACAGCGCATCCCGGTCCAATATGTTTAGATCCCGATGAGATAGATCACTTCCCGACAAACTGTTACACCGTTGTCATAGGCTGTACGCGGCACCACCTTAGCCCTGTTTGACGGCACCTCATGATTATGATTTCCTTCATGTACCCCAATAGACAATGTATTTTGCGCAGGTTTCTGGTGTCTTCCCACACTGGTATGGATTGGCCCGATTTTTCCGTTTCTTACTGCGGTCGTTCTCGGAGTTTCGAGGCATGCTGGAATAGCATTGCCAATTAGGTCGGCGTCTGCGCATGATAGAAATATTCCCTTTCTTTTTTTCACAATGGAACAAGTTAAATTACGATTGGAATTTCACAGGTGTAGGATTTGGACTGGCGATGGTTAAGTGCGTGTTTGCGATGGATCATGTTTCATTATCCTTTTTATCTCGTACAAAGTTACAAAGGGCACCCTTCTAACAAGGACCAAGGTTACAACATGGGAGTGAACAACCAAGCAGCTAAGTTACCTTGGGCCGTTTTCTCTCCTTTCCTGTTACACGGGGCTTTTGGTTTGGCGTGGAGGGCCAAGAAAAGAAAAGAAGAAAAAAGAAAGAAATTACGGCAAAAGAGGACTAGTACGCAAGTACGCTAAAAATGATTTTCATGTTTATTACTCTCAAATAGAAAAATGATCACATTGTTGGTTTCGGAGATAGAAGTTTTAGGCAATCGGCAATCTGGCAGTGATGCCACGTTGCAATCGAGATTGGTTCATATGAGGTTGAAGATCAGGTACGCGGTAGGTAGGTCAGGCAAATCAAAGCAAGGATCAGGTAAGATCAGGTTAGAATGAAGTCAAAGTTGAGGCTGCTGCGTGCAGCCCAACGGGGGGCAAGGGGGGGAAAGCTGAGATTTAGGCAGGGCTACGTGCAAACGCTGTGCAACGTGGGGGACACGCGTTTCTTTCGCACACGCGGCGGTCTGCAAGGTCCCGTTTGACGTCTGGAACGTTTGGAATATCTATTGGACCCATTGGGTTATTATGGGAAGACGGCGTGGCACATACCGTTTGTACGCGGCAACCAACGTTGGGGAAACACAACGGCCAGCCTTGACGAGGGAAGTATAACGGGGGTTAAAGAAAGCAAATTGTTCGTTCTAATCTATTGCATCACTGCATCACCATTGCATCACAATCATTATATATGCCATGCATGATTGACATACATACATGCTTCGTCAACTCAGCTTGTCCTCTCTCTGAAGGTAAGGCAAAGCAAGCCAAGGCAAGGCAAGGTAGAACGAAAAAAAAAAAAAAAAAAAAGTCAAGGAAAGATAAGACAATAACTAATCTTGCTACATCTATAGGTACATTCTATACAGCCACAGCCACAGCTAGCTACACACAACATCGTGAAGTTGCAACGTGGAATCAAACTTGGCCTTACTATAGATCTCCGGGTATCCCCCCAACGGCTCTCTTCCCGGAGACCAGGTTTGAACCGGCCGGATGTAACTGGAATCGTGATCCGACGGCCTCGTGCGTAAGCCAGTTATCCGATCGACACCTGTTACTTGAGCTTGGGCTTGGGCTTTAGCTATCTGCAGCTGCTTCGCTTGTCTAAGCCAAGCCCCTGACGCAATTTGGACGTCGCTGGCTCCATTCCAGCGCCTCTTCTCTTCGAATGCTTGCTCTCACACTTATACACACACTTCCTCTCCTCACCACACTATTTGTCGATATGCCCAACGACAACAACAACATCCTCCTGTCTTTCCGTTGTTGAACACACACCCGCCGTCATACCGGCGGCCGGCCTCACTTCGGCCAGGCCCACGTGTCTCGCTCGCTTTTGCGTCTTGTTACCTTGACCTCGTCACCCACAGCGACGTCAGCTTCTAGCTCTTGCCCTTCACCGCCACCACCGCTGCTGCTGCTGCTGCTACTATTTACAGGCGGTAGCAGAAACGCGTACCGCCCGAAGATGGGCGACCACTTGTTGCCCGCGTCCACGCGGCGGTCCCTCATCAGCTTCTTCAGCACCGAGCCTAGCTCGCCCGAGGCCGGCCGTCCGGTCGTGTAGTCGACGTTGATGGAGACGCAGCGCGCGCAGTTCGCCGTCAGCGCGAGTCGGTGCGAGGATCCTACTACTAAAAGCTCCGCCCAGAAGTCCTCGTCCCACGCGGCGAGTATCGACGGCGTGTCGTTGTCGCCGTCGCCGCTGCTGCTGTCTTCCGAGCCGGAGGACTCCTCCCACACCTCGTCGACCACGATGTTGGGCCGGAACTTGACCATGTCCATCTCCTGGCCCTCGGGTAGCCGCGCGCTGACGTTGCGCAGCGAGGCCTTGGACGTCAGGAGGAACGGCGCGGCTTCGTTGAAGACTATCCCGGGGGCCTCTTCTCCTTTCGGCGGCCACTGCTGCCCGTAGTAGGGCACGAAAGACGTCAGGTACGAGGACCAGGATTGCGTCTGTGGCTGTGGCTGCTCGGGCTGCGGCGCGTGCGCTAGCACTGAACGGCGGTTATCGCCGATGTAGACGAGGATCGCAGGATAGCCCAGACACGCGGAAAACCAAGCGTCGTAGGTATCGCCCATGCGATACGCCGCGGTGGAGCTGCTGTACAGCCTGATGTCGACGGTTTCGAGGCCGGCGATAGCGGGGTTAAGAGGTACGCGTAAGGCGGCATGCTGCTCCGGAGGGGGCGGAACCACTAGCGGGTGTTCCGGGATACGGTAGGTGACGACGACATGGCCATCATCGTCGACGATGGCCTGGTGGAAGAGCGCACACTCCGGGAAGTGGAACACCTGCATGTTCTTGTACCCTCCGCCGGCCTCGACCTTAAGCAGCATAAAGCGCCGGTCATACCGGAGGCCCTCGCGCTGCAGCGATGCCCTGTCTAGGGATACTGGGCGTAGGGACTTGATTGGGTAGATATACAGCTTGGGGGGGGCGTGTAAGTAGGAGGATGGACGAGTAGGGAGATGGGGAATTCGATTTACCTCTGTGATTTGTAGCGTCTTGTGACCCATCTTTGCGATTTAGAGGATGCAAGCAAGGCTTGAGTACCCGGTTTCTAATCCCCCCTTTTAGAGCCTATAAGATGTGATTCTTTTCTAAGCAAGTACAAGTATAGCTACCTAGGTATGTAGGTAGACGACCTGCTTCTTCTTCTTCTTCTTCTACAAGCTAGAATGTATGTACCTATACCAAGTTGTATCAGCACGTAACGTATTCCTATTAAGTGGCCTGACGTTGACGTGCCTTGCTAACTTAGATACTTAGGTAGCTAGCTCAGAACTATAGCAGACCAAGGATCAAACAAATCTAGTTCTACCACTCGGAATTTTGAGCCAAGGCTAGGCGATTGATTAGTCGGGGCGTAAGAAGAAGTTGCACATTAGTTCCATCGACGGCAGCATGTGGGGGAGAACAAAGTAGAGTAGAGTAGAGTAGAGCAGAGCAGAGCCTCATTATAGGTTAGGCTGCTTTTAATAACTGACGAAGAGACCCTGGTTTGGCAAATGGGCTGCTCGGAACCGACATGCGGGGGAGCTGAGTTAGTACATACATAGATACCTAGGTAGTATTGTAGACAAAAAGAGGTAGGTATATAGGTCAATCGCCGAGGCCGTCGGCCGGCCGCGTAGCCAATAGCATGGCGAATCAGCAGTCCGATACGGAGGCGCACGCCCTATACTCGAAACGTGATATGTCGGCCGAAGGCTGCGGTCATCACCCTCGGAGATTCCGAGTGCCTATAGATTACTGGGCTTTTTTTTTTTTTTTTTTTTTTTGCGTATACTCTATTTCATAGGGGATACCTGAAGCCTCGATATGTGCCTGGGCATCCACTGTAGTATGCGTAGGTAGATAGGTATGTATCCCAACTACGACCGGGTACGTGGGCTAGTTGGTATTATTAACCAGGTACCTACATACATACCTACCTAGGGTAGGTATGCACCTAACATTGATCGTATCATGAATCATGCAAAAGAGGCAGCCCGGGACCATTCCGATGCACTCGGTGCTTGATTTGTAATAGTTAGACGACCGCGGCGCGGCGCCGGCACGGAGGGTCTTTCTACTCTAGGCGATTAGCTCCTACGGCACAGCCCCTCGATATAGTACCCGCAACGGGGAGGCCCGGGGACCTATGTAGGGGGTAGGTAATATTTTAGATAGCTGAGGCTGGAATTCCTATACGCCAACCTAAGCTAGCTTTCCCCCCTTTAGCTAGTATAAAATCGTACCCCCTTCCCCTTAAAAGCCGTCTTGAGACCCCACCACTATGTAGTACACTACTGTCAAATTCGTAAGGGTTTATGTCGGTAAGCATATGACATGTGTGATTAGACAATAATAACAATAATATTGCATAGTCCATGCCGCTAGAATCCCGGGGAAGTGCGGATTTACGTCAAACTTGGGAATTGGTGCTGTCTTTACCGGGTCGGGGGATATGCCGTACCAATATTTAGACCATTACTTGCATTATGTAGATAAAGGGGGAAGCATGGAAGGGGTTCAGCTAGCACTGGAGATGTCAACGTAGTCCCTAATGCAATTCGGCCCTTAAGTCCGATATAGAATAGTCAGACGAGCTGTACTGCCGGCTGTAAAGTGTGCAATTCGACTTTGCATATAACGGTCGAACTCGTCCGGCTTAAAATCTATATCTGCCTACGTAAGGTACCTAATATATACCTAGGTAGGTACTTTAGAATGTGTATTTGCAAATCACGTCCTGATCCATAGCTTGTAATGTTATTTCCAAGGCACGAGACTACTTTCTATTTAGAGCGGAGCACTTATAACAACGAACGCCTATAAAATACACACCATAGTATAGTAAGAACGGAAAAGGCTTCTTATTAGTTAGATAAATATAAGCACTAAAGTTATTTTTAGTTAGTTACATATACTCTCAAAGGACTCTAATCAGCGTGCGTGCGTGCGTAGTCTACGTGGCCTACATAACCTCCAGTCTCAGCGCGTCGTACTGCACGTATACCGAGTTAGGCAGCACCGCGCTCTCGTAGTCGGTCGCGTTGAACGGCAAGCTCAGGACGATCCTATTCTCGCCCTCCTTAAGCAGAACCGGGTCGAAGACGAACTTGTTCGCGACGTTATAGCATATTACTGCGGAGCGCACCGCGCACGAGCTGCTCTGATGCCACCTTATCGAGGCCTGTTAGTTAGCGATCCCGAAGACGAGAAACTTTCCCCCGAGTAGGTAAATATAGACAAGTAGATTAGGTTAGGTTAGGTAACTCACGGGATAATCCAGGGCTCGAGATCCCTCCCGTTCACGCTGACGGAATACGCCAAGTTGGCGTGGGGCTCGGAAGCGTTGAAGACATCCGTGTTGCCCGCGGCGGTCTTGGCTCCAGCTAGCTGGACGGTGAAGGTCGCCTGGTGCTTCTGGTCGAGCTGGGACTGCTGCAGGTCGAACACGACGGTCCAGTTGTTCACGTTTCCGTCGCCGACGTACGGCTCGGAGCGGAGGTAGTTGGCATAGCCACCGAAGACGCTCCAATGCACGTAGTTCAAGTCCTTGCCCACGTCGCCCTCGCCGACCTTAAACGTGACGCCCGAAGGGAAGTCCTCGACGAAGTCGTACGCGCCCCAGTATACCCTGTACTGCTCGGGATGGAGCGGGTGCGTCGGATCGCGCTCGTAACCGTGTCGGTATTCACCGCTACTCTTGTCAGGCGTGCCTATACGGAATATCTCCTCTCCCTCGCTTTCCTCCTCCCACGTAACCCGAGTTGTCTCTATTTTGCCGGCACGCACTTCTACGTCGTCCCGGACGTACTGCCCGAATATACCGTCGGCATAGATCGTAAGCCGATACGTGTCCTCCTTTACTCGGGGGATAGTGGCGCGACCGCTCTCGTCGATCTCGGCCCAGTACTGGTAAGCCTTGGCGTCGAAGGCGTTATCCTGGAAGTCGACCCCGTTTTGCGATAGTACGGCGATGGGGTTTTCGGCGTTCTTGGGCAGATCTGCTTGCAGTTCCCAAGTCGCGCGCTGCTTGCTGGGGACGTAGTTAGGCACGTATTGCGCGACGGAATCGTAGAACTCGGTGTTCCATTCTGGGTCTGCGAACTGCGTGGCATCCTCTCGGAGAACCTGGAGGTCGGTCCCGGCAGGGAAATGATTGAAGTAGAAGAATTGCTGATCCGGTCAGAATAGGCGTTTGGGGGGGGGGGGGTGCGATATCGCGTCTTTAACTTACTGGGCCGAACGTTCGGTCAAACCCGTTGGTGATGTTTGGCTGTTGAGCTGTCAGTGCCCTAGTACATCTCAATGACGAATGACATTCATTGAATGTCAACTTACCGTTTGGTCTCCGTGATGGTTCGAGACTGTAATTTTAGTCAGTGACTTAGCTTTGGCTCGTGACTGGTTACCAACTAACCCATATAATCGTATACAATCCCGTCGACTACCAAGTCAGAGTGTAGAGGGCCTCCGAAGTAGGTTTCCCTCGTGTTCATAACCATCCACTGTAGGAATGCGAGTTAGAAATTATGTCTACAAATGTATTTCCTCTATCGTCTCATCTCAAGTCATAAGACTTGTACGCTCACCACCGCCAAACTTTCCACGAGTCATCTACTTACAGCTCCAAACGTGGAATTGTCCGCAATTTGGGACCCATCCGCATACCTATCAGGCCAAGTTAGTTTACTGTTTGTTTAGCTAGATGACTGGGGCTTCAACTAACATCCCATGAGCATCATGGTTTCTCCAAGTATCCTGGAAGGTATACTTAGTGAAGTAGTCTGCCTCCTGCTGGACATACGGGTCATTAGGCGTGTTACCCATGTACCACGTAGCATCTGTGACACTCGTAGTTAGTATTTTCCGAGTGCGAGGACTTCACGTGCGGAAGAATACGAAGTCATGTTTCGGTCGGGCGTCCCCGAAACATTTTTCTCCCCGAGCCTCCGGGCTTGCGGGACTGTTCAACGTGGACTTTATTAATTGCTCACCTTGTACGACGACCTGGTTCTTCTTGGCTTCCTCACCAGGAAGCGGCGCATACTGTACTCCGTTAGTCGCGAGATGCGTCCATATATCCGAGTTGGGACGGAACAAGGTTCGAAATTCTTGCAAGTTGCGCAAAAAGGGAGTGGTCTTGTTGTAGTACGCAATACGTGAAAATACATGTAGACCTGTCTCTCCGTCTCTGAGGAACCAGTATTGCTCGAGAACTTGGCCGGTAGGGGTGTATGTGTCGGACATCTTGATACCGCCGAAGCTTGTCCCCGTCGAGTCTGTTCCGGAGTATAGCTCATATGTGGGCTGCGTTGATCCGGGTGTCCAGAAGCCGTTCGGGGTACTTGATTGGGCTCAGCACGTTACGTTACTTTGTAGATGTTTCATAGTATTACTTACCAGTAGCAATCTAAATTGAATATGCCGGTAGATCCTGAGCGAGTGCCCAGGAGGTTCTGACCATCCAACACGACGGCGTCCATGGCACCAGAGGCCTTGTCGACACGTGTGTATAGTCGGTCATTCTGGATGACGAGCTGGGTTTCATTCTCGGTTGCTACCACTTCCGCGTAAGCACACCTGGAAATAGATAAGAGAATGAGACATGACCGAGATACTATCCCGAACAACATCTTGACTCAACTTCAAGAATCGGACGCGTGATACAAGAGCATATTAGAATTTAGCCTGCCTACCTTGCAAAGATTATTTTAATGAGGTAGCTTGTTTATATTGTCGATCTTCGGAAATGTCTTAAAGCGAATTCCCCAGACTAGGGGGGGGCTCTATTCATATTCACGTAATTATTCCGCCTACTAAACTTGGAGACTAGGGGAAGAAAGCACGAATGCGGGGGAGTTTGTGGGGTGAGATCTAATATTAATCATGGAGGCTCGATCAACGGCACATGGCTGCGGAGAATCAGGTTGGAGAGAGGTCATGGGTATATTCGGTGCTCGGTACAAGATATAGCGAGGTAGCTGGCTGAAAAGCAAAGCTCGGCTGAGTTGGCGATTTTGACTTTTGTGATCAAGAAGCTATCGTGACTTTAGTGACGCATTAGTGAGTGAAAGTCAGCTTTTGATATGTTGTGGAGATTCTAAGCTGTATTGCATGAATAATGAGAGGGCATGAGAGGAGCTGAAAAGGGCAGCTGTAGATCATTCGAGATGGCTGGTGCAACGGATAATTTGGAACATATGATCTATAGAGACGGATTTAATAGGTTACATCTGGCTTCGTAGTTCAGATGATTTTAGCTGATATTCCCATAGCGTTGCCGTGTTCCCTTGTAGACCCCCCTGTCACTCTCGGCTTGTTTCCAGCTTGGTTTCCAGTCAGCTGGATCTGGGTAGTAACTAGGTTAGCAGTTGAATGATTTGTCAAGAATTAAAGGACGACCGGAAGTATGTATTAATGATATTGGTTTTAATCAGGACTTATGACTACCGCTGCATATATGTGCTTATACGTGCTTATATGCTGCCTGTCGTAAGGCATACACACATATAGCATACACGTACGGAATATAACAGATATAGATGATATACACATCATTCCCGTCCCCCGTCATCGTACAGGATGAATGCATGTTGGAACATGTGTAGACATGTGTAAATGCATGTGGCTTTTGGAGTTACTGTTGTACAATTGGACGGATCGGGTGCGGAGCCGGAATAGGAGCAAACTCCACATGGTTACCTATTAATACACACACTAGGAGGTAGTTTAGACATAACTAATTGTTTAGGTAATACCCGACCCGCCACGGTGTATTGTACTCCACCGCTAACCTCCTTTTGCTGATAGGCCGCTACTATTGAAGTGTTCCACCTATGTATTTTACTTACACGAGTTAAAGTGACACTGCCTCTTCCAAGTGACACTACTTAGGTAATGTACCTGCCTGCCCAGCTCGAATAGGGGGAAATCAATGTTTCGTCGCCAACGCCAAGTAGCTGGATAAAAGTAAATCCGTTATCTGGCATAACTTAGATAACTTAGATCCGTACCTTAATTAATGCAGCCTGGTTGACCCCAGTTTCATCTAAACGCCCTGAGATACGTACCACCAAACTCTCAACAATACAAGTTTTGACTTATCAGCGTCTTTTTCTTCTTTTTGGTTTTCCAAGGTTCGGCGGCTATGGCAAGCATTGGTCTGCCACGAGGATCACAAAGACCACGAGGCCGCCTGCAGCTATCCGGTGCATTCTTGTGACCATATGGCAATTCTTTTTTTTTTTCTCGAAAGATGGATGCGTTAAAGAAAGATCTGCTAAAAAAAGGGTCGGCAAGATCTAAGCGGACTTCTAAGTGGATCACTACGGTCTACATACCGCTCCGGGATTTATTATCGCTGTTAGTTGCAGTTAGTTGCTCATGCAACACGGGGCAGCAGGGCAGACGAGTCTAGTACAAGTCATGCCATGCCTGTTCTGAAACACAACACAACCCTATCGGAGATCTTAACTCCTCTGCCACAAGCTTAACCCGGCATTTCTTGCAAGTTGCGCCCAGCTTGTCCTTGCTTGTTCATCCCTTTCCTCGATTATCACTGTCTACCCAGTGGTTTACCAAAGGTTTACCAAAGGTCTACCAAGGTCTGCCGTGGCCTACGCACCGCCAATCATCCAATGCCGCGATCATCCTCATTGGGATCCAAGAAGCGCGCCCGCTGGCTCGGCTCGCACAGAGTCCTGCCTGGTCCTACCAGCCCTACATACTGTCAACCTGATCTACGGGTCGCCGAGACGACCCATGTCTGGAATTTGTATTATTACCTCTTGTACATGTCTGATCAGAGTCAGATCCGTGGCAGGCTCATGTGAGTAATGTTGTGAGTATGTACGTATTATGTACCGATGATATGTGAGCTCTCTACGGATCCGTACCAGGGTTGTTTCCATGGCACGGTCCACATCCTCGTTACTCTCCCTTAATATCCTGTGACTGTGATCGACTTTACAAGTTTACATTCACTCTTCACTCCATCAAGTGGCGACTCAGTCTTTTCAGTCTTTTCCTACATTTTTATATAAGGTCATTCTTTTGCCGGCAAGTTTCTGGAAAGCTTCTGCCCCTCATACGAAACGTATTCTTCTTATCCTTCTTCTAACTATAATATCGTCGCCATGGTTTCCTCTTCTTTCGTAGGCTCCCTGGCCTCCAGGGCTATTTTCTTAATGTCTAGTCACCTCAACAGCGCGGACCAAGCAACATATGCCGCACACACCGTCGACGGATTAAAAGCTTTGCAATCATGGTACAATCGCGAGACGGGCCTCTGGGATACTACTGGATGGTGGAATAGTGCCAATTGCTTAACTGTGTTGGCCGACTTTGCGCTCGTTGATCCGGCAGCTTCTGTCAGCCTGAATATCCCAGACATCATTCAGAACACCGTAAGTAGACCCAAAAATTTTCACATCTCTTCCCCCCTAGCTTTGCCTGGGCGCCTAAATTGCGTGAAACAAGCTATGGTATTCGAAAACAAAGCCCGGTATTATTTGCGATTAGCCAATTGCTAATTCTAAGCGCCATAGTATGAACAAGCGCAAAAAACCCAAGTACAAGCGACAAAGATTTTGTCCCCGATAGGACTTCCCATATCAACGTACGTTAGAGTACCAAAGTCAAAAAGATCAGAGATTGGCAAGAGGGGTTTCGACAATTTTCTTAACGATTATTACGACGACGAAGGCTGGTGGGCGTTAGCTATGATCCACAGCCACGATGTTGGTGTACAGGGTATTGGAGATCAGCAGTACATCCAAGCCGCAGTCGAGATCTTCGAGGATATGAAGGCGGGTAACTCTACTTGCGGCGGTATTTTCTGGAGCAAAGTAACTCCATACACCAATGCCATCGCAAATGAGCTGTTCCTTGCTGTGGCGGCGTCCCTTGCGAACCGGATTCCCTCTCGAAAGGATTACTTTCTCGACATCGCCCAAAATCAATGGAACTGGTTCAAGAATAGCGGTCTGATTAATAAGGATAATTTGATCAACGATGGACTTACCGACGACTGCAAGAACAACGGCATGCAAACCTGGACTTACAACCAGGGGGTAATTCTGGGTGGATTGGTGGAGCTTTCCAAAGCCACGGGTGACAAATCGCTACTTACCACAGCTCAGACTATTGCTTCAGCTGCTATTACTAAGCTATCCAAGGATGGCATTCTCTTCGAGGGCTGCGAACCGAACTGCGGTAGCGACGGTTCGCAGTTCAAGGGTGTTTTCATGCGCAACTTGCACTACCTGCAAGAGGCCGCGCCTATGGAACCCATCAAGAACTTCTTGCTCACGAACGCGGATACGATTTGGGCTAAGAACCGCAACGACAAGAACCAGCTCGGAACTACTTGGGCAGGACCTTTCGGAAATGCCACAGCTGGTACGCAAAGCTCTGCTCTCGACACTCTGGTGGCGGCAGCAGCGGTGGCTTGAATCACTCGCATACCGCTTCTTGGGATGGGGGGAATATAGGCGAATTGGCGTTCAGGATAATTGGCACGGGATGCTAGTAGATACCATTCATTATTATTAGTAGTAGTATTAGTATTAGTCACCTGCGCACCGCAGTCGCAAATTAGGTGCCTTTCCCTATAGTTAGTATAGAAATAGTATAGTTAGTACTATGTAATCAACTAAACGAAGATTCATAATTTTCTTTCCAAGGGTCTAAATTCAAGCTTCCAATGATATTGTAGTGATGACTTTCCTCAGCGAAGGTCATTTCCTCGTTAGGGTACGTAAGGCTTTGGTACGGCGCCGGCGCGTGCTTTCTATTGTATGTATGTACGTGCAGAATTAGGCTGGTCCGTCCCCCGGCCGATCACAACATTGCCGTTGTCCCGTGCTGCCCCAGGGACGACTGCGATCGGCGTCATTTCTGGGAATTCGCCCAACCGGCTGAAGTAGAGTGATCGACGTCATAATAGGGCAAGGAGGCCGTGGGCGAGAGCCACAAGACCCCTCCCCGCGGAATTGGGAGGGTCGCGATCAACAGTGATTTATACCGGTATTCCGGGAAATATTGATTTGGGTTAGGGGTTAGGGGTTAGGGGGGGGGTGAATGGGGTGGGTGGTATTGGGATGCGCTGGTTAAAATCCCCCCGAGACCCTTTTTTCCTTTTCCCTTTTCTTTCCCATCCCCTATTCGCTCTGGTCCGTTGGAGATTTCACATGTCGCTCGCTATATGCTAGTGTACATAATCCGTACATAGGTACGCTTCCCCACGCCCAATTTCGAAGTCCCGTGCCTGCATACGTGCTGCATTTGTTGTATGTATGCCGTGCGTTATGTATGTAGGTTAGGTAGGTAGTTAGGTGTGTCTACAACATATACATACATACATGCATGCATACATACATACGACCTAATACTACGCCACGCAAAGACACCAACGACTCCATCTCATATGTACATACTGCACGCGACCACGGATGGTGTTCTTAGGGGTCCAGCGACATTGTCATGCCCTCGCTTCGGCAGTCCTCCAGGCGCTCTAAATGAAACGCCGTCGCCGCGTTGCTGGATTGCATAGGCCTTGGCACGATGGAACGTTAGCCAAGGGCCGCGCTATTACCCGTCTCACTCTACCTGAGTGTATGCATAGAGGACTTGTCGCACACGGCCTGTGGGAAGACGGATCTGGTCTGGTCTGATCTGATTTGATCTGTGGCTTACTGTATGTAGGTAATTTATATATATTGACGGGCGTCAAAGTGCCGATGCTGTGCAATATATATTTACGTAGGTGAGTTTGTGAGTATATGTGATATGTATGCACCTATGATGCTAAGGGTAGGTGTTGGTGATAGTGCAGCTAGGAGTAAGGCCGTGTTTTAATTACTGCATATATGTCCGTATACTACTATACGAAGTCAATCTACGACTTCTCGCAGCTACGAGGCATCCTCCACTCCGGCACGCCAGCCCCGACATATCGACGGGCCGGAGCCCTGATTACTATCGAGAGTCAGGATTGTGGATGAGCCTTGGCTGGATGAGGAACTTGTGCTTCTATACGGGCTATATGTAGGGAGGATCACATGTAAATTTACTCTCTTAGTTTTGCTATGGCTAAGATGTTAATACGGACTCAGATGTCAGTAATGTCTGTGTTTCTTCGGAATAATTAATCTCACCGGAGGTAGGTAGCTGAGTCAGTGTCTCGACGGCGTAGGTCTCACTTCATATTATGGCCTCTATTTATGGAGGACACGAGGCTCGCGCTAAAGGTAGGTAAATATGACAGCCACGCATTCCAATACCTCGTGGACTTCAAGGTAAGTACGTAAGTGGCGTTTCGGTAACGATGCCGATCGATGGCCGATAGCTTAGAGATCTGAGACTTCAGGTCTCACGGCAACTATATACACATCATCTTCTATCAAGTAACTAGCATGCCGTTTGAAACATCCAACTCCGTTGCCCCGGGGCCCGGAGTTCTTTGGAATTCTTCGACTACTGCCGTTTGCATCTCAGCATCGTTACACAGGCATCTAGAATCATTACATGTAAACTCTTAAACTAAGAATAGCCCCCTTATAACGTATATGTAGTATCTAGCCTTCATCTGAACCATACTCTAGTCCTTGGTCTCGAAAGCCGTGCCTAGATCAGAGCGGCACCGTCCAAACAAAACTTGCCTTCTATCCCTTCTACCTCCGTTCCGATCTACTCCGGAGCCCAGATTCCACCCGGCACCGACGTAGCCAGTAGTGAACCCGTATCGTCGACTAGGTTCTTTGCCTACTTAATTAGATCGAGATTGAGTACCTATGTTAGGTGTGCGTATCTGAGTTGTCAGTTGTCACACCTCGACCCCCAAGACGTCCATCATTTATCTCGTGCTACCTCAAAAGAGTATACTACGCATATGCCTCCCTAGGCACCTAACCACGTCACTTAAACTCAAGCCACTATCTAGATACATATGAGTTACCTGGCAGCTACATGAGTAGGTACTTACGGATATATCCCAGCATCATGGTTCACGATAGGTGCACCCGGACAACAACAGTATAATAAAACTACCAACACCGCAAACTGGGATATATGGGTAAACAGCTGATTCTTCACACCGCCGGTTTGCCATGGTGATATGTTTCGGACGTATACGTCAGCCTCTCCTGAGCTGTACGTGGCTGTACCACGCAAGGGCGCCTGTAGGATCCCCAACATCCGAACAGTATCAGGGAATTAGTTTATTAATAGAAACGGTGATTTAAAGACGGGAGGCGGGTTTGTGTTCGCCGGTGGAACACTGCAGAATAGTCTGTGCAACGAAAACACAGCGATTTAATATAATTTTCTATTGCTTTGCTTAAAACTACACAAGGTGAAGGCCGCGGGACGGAATACACCAAACTCCCATGTGCTAAATATCAACCTTCCGAAGCCGCTAGCAAGAAGGAATATGGGACTATGGGGAACACACTATTGGTCTGCCGTTTGATCCGCCTTGTGAGCATCTTCAATGAGGGCACACAGAGCGCCTCCACTATTAACCCCAGGTACCACCTCCTCCGCCAGACCGCCCAACCTTTCGCTGTGCGCTGAGTCTCCAGTCGTCTTCTGCTGCGTACTTATTGTACAACGGCTGGATCCTCTCAGCTTTCTTTCGCTTGCTGAGCTTGTCCGTAGGCGCAACCTTGAAGAACGTAGGTGCAGCTTGGACAAGCCACTTTGGCTCGATGCTCGTGGTGTAATGCATATACTCCTTTGTAGTAAGAACTAGCGTGTGATAGATCACCCACTCTGCCTGTTTTCCGAAAAGCGCTGAGCTTGGATGTAGGTAGACTGGTGTACCCTCGACCAAAGTCTTGTAGCCTTCCTGCGGGTCTTTTCTTGCTGAGTTGCGGAAGAAGCCCGAGCACAGAGCTTGTCTGACCTTCTGAGTATCCCGGCCGCAAGAAGCGATGGGGTGTCGATAGCGCTGCATTATCTTCGCTATCTGCTCGCGGACATCTTTAGCTCGCTTCATCGAGCGTGCTTGGATGAAATTCTCAAAGCACCACGGAGCCGAAAAGCCGCTCTGCTTCCAGGCGTTGTAGACGTTGAGAAGGGTAAGATGATCGCCCGACGGGTCGTGGAATTTGGCCTTCTTTTGATCGGCCTGGGTTTGCTTTTCCTTCGGTCGGTAAAACACGTTGAGATTCAACATCGCTACGATGCTGAGCATCTCATCGGAACAACCCATATCAACCGCGGCGATCAGGACTTTAGCTAAGGCGGGTTCCATAGGGAAATCGGCCATCTTACGGCCAAGCCGAGTTAGAAGGCCTTCATCGTCCAACGCTGACAGAGCATACAATTCTTCCAAGGCAGTCAACATGGTGTTTGTAGGCGGCGGGTCCATAAAATCGAAGTGGAGAAGATCATTGATACCCATGGCCTTGAGCATAAGAATTGTATTCGCTAGATTCTGGCGCTGGATCTCCGGAATGGTTGTCGGAAGCATTTCGGACTGATAGGCGGCCTCAGTATACAATCTGAAGCATTTGCCAGGTCCGGTTCGCCCGGCACGGCCGGCGCGTTGGTTAGCTTGAGCTTGTGAGATAGGCGTGACAACTAAAGAATCCATGCCAAGCTTTGGATCGTAAGCATTCTGCTTGACGAAGCCGGGGTCCACAACGTAGTAGATGTGATCGATTGTGATAGAGGTCTCGGCGATATTGGTAGCTATCACAACCTTTCTACAGCCAGGAGGCGCAGGGTCAAAAATCCTGCTCTGCATCTCACTAGGGAGTGCTGAGTATACCGGAAGAATAATCAGCTCGGGGACACCCGGGCCAAGAGCTTTCATCCGTTCGTACAGAATTTCTGCCGCCGTGTCAATTTCCTCCGAGCCCGTAAGGAAAACCAAGATGTCTCCAGGGGGTTCCGTAAGGTGGATTTGCATGACCGTCACCAGAGCTGCATCGAGGTAGTCCGACTCAGGTTCTCTGCTATACAAGATCTCCACAGGGAACGTGCGACCGGGAATGGTGAAGATGGGGCATTCGTTGAAGTAGGCCGAGAACTTGTCAGCGTCTAGAGTAGCCGATGTGACAATGATCTTCAAGTCGCTTCGACGCTTGACGGTCTTCTTGAGAAGTGCGAAAAGAACATCAGTCGCGATAGTGCGCTCGTGAGCCTCATCCAACATGATGACCGAATATCGCTTTAGATCGGGGTCAAGCAGAATCTCACGCTCCAACATACCATCTGTCATGTACTTGATTTTGGTGGCTGGGCTCGTGCAATCCTCGAAACGGATGGTATAGCCGACCTCTTGACCCAGCTGACAACCAACTTCTTCTGCGACACGCTTTGCTACAGACATGGCTGCGACGCGACGCGGTTGTGTGCAACCAATCATGCCATTGTTGGTGAAGCCGGCCTCAGCAAGATACTGAGTGAGTTGGGTAGTTTTACCGGATCCAGTCTCGCCTACGAC